GCAGCTTGTTCTACACCAAATCCAGCAGCAGCCATGTTCACATTCTTCTGGGTTTCTTTTTCATTTCTTTGTGCCTCCTTGTATGCCTTTTCACGCTCAAAGTCGGCATTTCTAGCAGCTTGTTCTGCACCAAACCCAGCTGCAGCCATGTTCACGCGCTTAGCATCTTCCACGTTTTTTCGGGCCTCTTCCTTCCGTGCGCTCTCTGCAGCATTTAAAGCTTTCGCATTCTCTTCTACAAGAGTCGACACACCCTTGGCTTGATATGAATAGAGCTTTGACTTCGTCTCTCGCTCTTTTTCCTTCCTTCTTTTCTCCTCGTTCTTTTGCCTCATTGCAAAATCAAACGGCGAAACGCCTTGAAATTGATTATTGATCTTCGGTTTCCACTTTTTAATGTTGTCTTCAGGTGGTTTGAAGTCATATTTTGGATCATTTTGGCTGTCAGGCATGTTTTCTTAATTGTTTCCACAGGAGCGTTGCACAGTGAGAGAAATTTAAGATTGTCTCGCAATTGAGCTGTTCGTTGACCTAGTTTTCCAGTTGAAAAATGTTGAAAAATGTCGAAGAGGATTTCCTCGACATGAACAGGATCGAGCAGGAAGTAGCGGTTGTCAAGTAGAAGTTGAAGTAGAAGTACGAGTACCAAATAACTTCGTACCCAGGTAGGAATCGATGCGGATGGGTGTGAAAAATTCGGGTGAGAAAACAATACGACTAACGTAGATACGAGTACGGTAGTCCTGTTGTAAGGTGCGTAATCGTGATCTAGTTTCAGACGTACGGACAAACCTCCGCAGTTTCTAATTAACAGTACCAGGTACAGTAGGTACTGTACGAAGTATTTGACTATAATCCAGTAGAGGAGGAGTCATTTTGGATTTTATTTCGAAAAAAATGTCGATGTCCTTTTTACAACAAAAACAGAACATAATTTGGTATCGTAAGGTAGAACTCGTACTTGTCGAGTACGTACAAGTATCGTACATTTGTTACTAGTATTAAACTTGGTTTGCCAGGACCCTTCCGAATCAGCATTTTTACCGCGCGTTTCGCGCAACAATTGGTAACCAGGATATTCGTATGATTGGTCAGGCGTGCTACTGAACAGTTGGACATTATTAATATCAAGCGGGACTGGACCAATGCCAGGTATATTGATTTTAAATGTTGGATATATCTATATAATGTGACCAACTCTGACCGTTGAGTTTAATCCCAACTAGTAGTAATATCTGAGGGAATTTTTTCTCGCAACCATCAAGCTACCATCAATCTACCACCAAGCTACCAGAATTTCTGGTAACTTTCTGGTAACTTTTTGGTAACTTTCTGGTAGAGTCCTGGCTACTTTCTGGTAGATTGATGGTAGCTTGATGGTTGCGAGAAAAACTTCCCTTCAGATATTACATAGTAGACGTGCGTCTTGCCAGCGCACTACTGCTGGGTCCCGCGCCAGCAGCATCATTAGTACTTGTTACTAGTAGTGGTACACTACGTACGTAGAAGCAGTCCTGTTCAAGGAGGAGCAAAGGAAAGTCTTCGACAAGCCTTGAACTGTAGGAAAGGACCCAGTGGAAGTTAAATTTCATTTGGTTTAGCGTCGTGTTGTCTTACGATTCCATGACAGCAACAGTAATAGTAAACGACACCATTGAAGCAGCGGCAAGAGAAGTGCTTTGATGGCCAGAAAGAAGAAAGTGGAATTCGCGAGATAAAGATAGAAGATTCAGAGCATGTTTTGGAGCTCCTATTAGTGTCGTAACAGATGTTTGGAACAGGATAATTGACCATGGACCTATTGATGCTGGGGGAGAACCAAAACATCTCTTGTGGGCTCTAATTCATCTAAAGATCTATTCAACGATTGAAATCCACTGCGCTATAGCTGGATGGCCCTGTGCAAAAACGTTTGCAAAGTGGTCCTGGTATTTTGTCCAAAGAATTGCTGAGCTCAAAGATGACGTGATTAGTCTTGATAATAGGTTCGATGGTTTAGATGAAGAAGTTCATGTCACCTGCTTTATGAGTGTAGATGGAACAGATTGCCCTGTATTTGAACCGTGGCCATTTTCGAGAGGCATGTATTCGCACAAGTTAAATGGACCAGCTGTCAAGTATGAGGTAGGTGTCTGCTTAAAGACTGGATGGATTGTTTGGATTAATGGTCCTTTTGTTGGAAGCGCAAGCGATGCAACTATATTCAAGGAAGGACTGAGTCAACTGCTTCATGATGAGGAAGGAGTTGAAGTTGATAGGGGCTATAGGGGAGATGATAAGATGAAGCTTCCAGATATGGGGATGACCAGCAAACAAAGGAAGATGAAATCTAATGCTTGAGCACAGCATGAAACTGTGAATGGTCGGCTGAAGATATTCAATGTTCTCACTACTCATTTCAGGCACATGAAACCAAACAGGGCAGGAATGCTAAAGAAGCACGGAATGTGTTTCAATGCTGTTGCTGTAATTACTCAGCTGAAGTTTGCCAATGGTGAAACTACATTCGAAGATGGATTGGATTATGAAGTCAGATACTTCTAGTCGTCGTAAGGCTACTAGTAGAAAAGCACTATTGAGACCATCGATAGTCCCTGACAAGAGGAGTGGATCCAAAGAGCAGTGGTAATGGACAGGAGCAATCCCCTAATGACTGACTTAACAGCTGGTGTATACTTTCCGGTACTATGCTCTCCAACCAAGTACGGTACGAGTTACTCTTAACCGTACGGTACTGTACGTAGCCAGCTGGAACTGGTCCAGTTAAGAGGGATCGGCACGTGTAATTATTAATTACTACTATTAGTCTAGTAGTGTCTTGTAAGAAAAGCACTAGGCGTATTTAGACCATCGATACTAGTCCCCGACAAGAGGAGTGGATCCAAAGAGCAGTGGTAATGGACAGGAGCAATCCCCTAACGACTGACTTAACAGCTGGTATACTCTTTCTGGGCCTTTGGAAATTAAATCAAGCCAGCTGGAACTGGTCCAGCAGCAATAGTTAAATTACTGCTATTACTAGCGTCTTGTACGTACTATTCATAATTACTACTACTGCAACGCTTATCCTTCCTCCTGCCATTGCTTGAAATATTGCTCAAGACTGTCTAAGTGTCGTTTGGCTTCTTGGAAGGCAATGATTGGGTCCTTAATAGAGGACTTGATTGACGAATCAGTTGAATGAAAAGAATCCTCCTCATTAGTACTGCTCAGCATTCTGGCAGAGAGTAGCTGCTCATCGACTACTAGTGCTGGTAGTCATTTGTCAACTGGAGGATTAGGCTGGTGTGGAGAAGCAACGAAAGACGTGTTAGTTCTTTGTCTCTTATTACTACTAGGTGTGTGCTCCTCCTGCTCCCAATGAAGCTCCTCCCTCTGCTGGGCAAGACGCCGCTGCTCTAGAAGCTGTGCTTGGAGCTTTTTCTGTTGCTCAATCCTTGCTTCAAGCTGTTGTTGCTGCGCAAGCTGCTCATCAAGGGTCGGTTGAGATGACTTACTAAATCTGATACTTGATTGCTTAATGGCAACAGGTGATGCAAAAGGCTTCTTTTCATCCTTCCTCTTCTCAAGGAATAAGATCTGGAGGATAGTTCCTTTGTTACCATTTGCATCTACTGGGCATTCAAAGACATCTGCCTTGCACTTGTCATCAGAGCAATCCATAGGCTTCTGGAATCGAAACAAGCCTTCCGAATAGATGAAGCCATCCTCCTCTTCCATATCACTTGAGTTCTTCCCCATGGAAGTGTAGACCGGGTGTTTATCATGATAAGTCTCCAGAATATTGCCTTTAGCGTCCGCGTAGGTATCCAATCCAGTCATAAAGAGTGCATTCTGCATGAAGATGGGCCATTTGAGCTTGAGCTTCAAAGTTCTTGAGTCAATCCATTCAATTGAATAGTCTGTTTCCTTTGTCCCACTGTGAAGGAGCATCCTCATCAAACAGAAGCCATTCAATACCTTTGCTCTGTAATCGAATATCTCCCATCGACCGGAGAGCATGGGATATGGGAGAGCTCCACTAATAGTTTGGACAGGGCCTTTGAAAGAGAGTTTCCTGAGGCTAGAAACGATTTCTTCCTCCTCACCCCCACGACCAGGGCTTGAAATTCGAACAGCCTTTTTGTTGGTGGGCATTCTTCTTGGTGTTGCTGTTGTTTCTTCAGACGCTACAGATGATGCTGCTACAGACGAACAATCGTCTTCTTGTTGTTGTTCGTAGTGAGAGGATGCAATGGACTCCTCTGCTTCTGATGATTCGTTAAGCTGTTGTCGACGTTGTTTGTGTTCTCTCAAAGGGTCTACAAGCTTGATTCCTCTCTTCTCTAGGTCTTGTGCAAGTGTGGCCATAGCCTAAAGAAAGACAACCGGCCGGTGAGAGCTGCACGACCACAGAAGCAACGATGGGACACCAGCAGCGGCGACAGTGACAGGGACAGCACCAGCACTAGCACAGCAAGGAACGCTTCTTACCTTTCCAATATTAGCCCAACTAGATTCCTTTATGCTTTGCCTAATGTAGTTTGAGCTATGATACTTCCAGATAGATCCGGGCTTGTCCGTAGGAGACCAGCCTTCTTCTCCTTCAGTGTACAAAAAGAGCCAAAAGTTATAACAAGCAATACGCTTTGAGAGCTCTAATCTCCCATACACTAGCTCGGGATGTTTCTCCTGATCTAGCTGCTTTGGTCCTTTCTTTGTTGCATTCCTTGCCATTGTGAGGGATTGAAGCTGCTGCTTAGGAAAGATTAATGCTGCAAAATCGATCAGCTCAGCTTTTAAGAGTGAAGACCAAATTTTCAATCATGGATTGCAGGCGCGCAGGACCGACCAGAAAGAAGCTACCAGAATCCTACCAGAAACTTACCAGAAACTTACCAGGAAGCTACCGGAAAGCTACCAGGAAGCTACCAGAAATTATGGTAGCTTTCTTGTACTAGTAACAACTCTGTAAGGATTCTCAAGGTCTCTACGGGGTCTCTAAAAATTTGGTTGGGATTAAACTCAACGGTCAGAGTTGGTCACATTATATATAGATATATCCAACATTTAAAATCAATATACCTGGCATTGGTCCAGTCCCGCTTGATATTAATAATGTCCAACTGTTCAGTAGCACGCCTGACCAATCATACGAATATCCTGGTTACCAATTGTTGCGCGAAACGCGCGGTAAAAATGCTGATTCGGAAGGGTCCAGGAAAAATCCAAATGAAAAATTCAGGCTCTTCTTTTTATATGATGATATCGTGTCTACTATCAGCGCAACAACATCACGTTAATTCCTAAAAAAGCAATAACGTAGACGACCATCTTTTGAAGATTTTTGGGTCATTGGGTATTCCATGATACCGGTATCCATACATAGGGATTATCGGAGTACCAAAAGTGGCAAGACTATTGACAAGAGTGATTTGCTTGGAAACCGATCTTTCGTGGGCCTCTCGCTCGTGACGACATTGACATGGTTTTCGACTTTTTTACTCGCAAGCATCGGGATCTGAACAAAGAATCACCGGAATTTCGCGAGAATGATTTAAGACACGCATCAATTTCAAAATCGTCACCACAAACTCCAAACGGTCTAATAATTGAAATGCGCAAGAAGCCTCTGGAGTCGGGATCAACAAAAAAGGAATTTTTTGTCAAGGAGGTCGTCAATGGGGGGCTTTTTCACAAGATACACGGAGATCGCATCAGGACTGGTGATCGTCTGGTAAAAATAAACGACAAGCCAGTTGAAGAATTTGCTAGTTTGTGGGACATAAACAATTATTTGAAAAAAGAATTGAAAATAAAAATTTATGTCAAGCGTGATGGTCTTCATTTGGAGGAGAAGAAGGTATGGGGCAAAGCCGAATACATCTCGAACAAGAAGTAACAATCCAAATTACTTGGTAGAAAGCAGTGACTATTTATATAGAATAAATCCTGGGGTATGTTGAACAAACATCAATTCCATGTCCAGAGCTCGTTTTTTAACATCTTGAGCTCTTTCCAGTAAATGACCAGTCTCTGACAAATGGCGTGCCGTGACGAAATAATTACTTATCAAATATCACTGGAACCACTCAAGTTAAATACATCATTTATTCTCTATTAATACATTATATATTTTGGTTTTGTTAACTAAAATCCAGGGAGGGCACGATTCACTCCATTTACACACTCAGTTAGATTACAGCATGTACAGCATGGGCAAAAGAAATTATCGTCGTAACAATCAGCCCCTAGAGTTTTGAGGATTTCCAGTGGGAACTCTGTTCTTTCACAAATTGATGCATGTACAAATCCTGTGAACGCATTCGACTCGAGTTCGAGATGTCGTAGTGTTGTCATCAATCCGATTTCAGTAGGTACAGTTCCGGTCAGATTATTAAACTGCAACCACATTTGTTCCTACATTTTGGAGAGAAAAGAAGAACCGCACAGGTCAATTAAAAAGTAAACAATTTTTGCTTGCAGAATGTGACAAAATGACAAATTGAATGAATATCTGTCACTTACCATCTTGACGAGATTGCCTATCTCAGGAGGGATAGATCCAGTCAAGTTATTGTATGCGAGTGATAGCGAGGCCAAAGTGCCCATATCTCCCAGCCAGGAGAACAAAGGGCCACCAAGACTAGGATTCCCGTCAGCCCAAAATTCTTTGATTGCTGGTGATCCTTCCAGGGGTGACAAGTCACCAGTCAGCAACGTATCACTCAGGTACAGATATTCCAGATCAGGCAACTCACTCAATACGTCCGGAATGCTTGTGTTAAACAAATTTCCGTCCAAATTGAGATAATTCAATTGACTTAACAACATGAAGTTTTCATCGGTGAATCCTCCCGTAAAGAAGGCGTTCCCGATGTTGAAATTCACGAGATTTTCTGGTAACAATGGAATGTCGCCAGTGAATCCAGTTCCTTCCAATAGTATAGTTGCTGTTGAAAAGCAGCGAGAAAAAAGTAAGGAAAATGAGCAAAATCATACGATTAGTGAGAGTAAATAAACCATAATTATCCCACGACTCTCCAACCAACTTAGAACTCACTAATGTTTGATCCTAAATAAGAAATCCAGGAACTATCCCCATTATTCGAAAGAAATTCATTTTGAAACAAATCCAGTTTGTCAAGGTTTCCGGCTCCCGTGCTAAATGGTCCATCAGAGGCAAGCAAGACAACCTCGTAAGGGAAGTGCCCCGTTAGCATGTTTTCGTATATTTCAATGGCAACCACTCTCCCTTCCGTATCGCAACTAATGCCGTACCAACCTCCACTGCTTTCTAGAGAAAGAGTAGTTACAAGCGAAGTTTCGTTAGCAACATCGGTCGCAGTGATAAAAGTTGTTCCACAGGGATCGACATCAGTCACGTCCTTCCAGTTTGTTGCGATAAGCCATTCCGGCATCGCAATATTGTCGAACCTCGCATCAGCATTCGTGATTTCGTTTGCAACTCCATTAGTGGCATGGTAAATGCAATATAAGGCGTAATATTGAACGATTTTCGCGTCGTTCAAAGAATCGACGTCGACTTGTTCCGAGAGATGGTGGAAAGCCTTCGATTGGTAGCTGATGGAATCTTCGGTGTCGAAGAAACCACGCAAAGCGTCCTCGTTCAAGCCATGGATGGCACTTGCAAGTCGAGATCGTAATGCTTCAATATCGGTGGTTTGTGCTCCCACTATTGTTGTTGCATCAAGTATTGTCACCAGTGAGATGAATGAATATATTATTCCCAAAATGGCTATCCTGGTATATGATACTGATGTTATCAAAGATGCCATTGTCAATGTATTGTACTCCTGTTGGATCTGTTGTTTTACACGAAGTTTTTCGTCCTAAAAATATCCCTTTTTTCCTCGAAAAAATGCACTGACCGCTAGGGAGATGAGATTGCTTCCGTTCACTTGTTGAGAGACGCTGTTTCGGCTTCAGCACGTGTACCGTACGAGTCCTAATGGAAGGCAATTTCGAAATTACTGATAATACAATATTCTAAATAAAAAGAAATGCTACCGAATGGTACGAATACAATGCAGAATGTACGTGAGGTATGCCTTCAGCGCAACTAAAATCAGACTCCGATCAGGACGTACGGTACACTCGTACGTACTGACGAGTATGTAAAGTTTAAAGTACGCACAGTTCGTCTTTCCCACTTTAGCATCATCATACCAATTCCCCGTGTGCAACCAAATTGAAGGCAATATCGTGGCGTTGGATCATACAAATTGGTCATTTTTCGGCGAGTTTCCGCTTCAGTGGTGTATGTGAACAAATTTACATGTGTTTCCCGATTATTATCGAGGAGGCCGTCGCGACCGACGGCCCTCATGCTTTTCTCCAGATAGCTGGTACGTTTCAAATTTCAAACACGATTGGGAGATTTATGAAACTATCTAACGGAAATCAAAGTCTACTCATGAATGGGTCATTCCCGATAACATAAATCCGTATGTCGTCGGGAATGTTTTTAGTGGTCCTACTTCGTAAAAGGCACGGCAGGCACAATGAAAGTACGTACTTCTACTACATATTTTCCCTCTGTTTAGCAATGTGGAATCCCTTTGTTCTTGTTGGCACCCATTTTACTGGAACCATGTCGATTTCAATTTTTTGGAAAAAGTTAGATTCCCAGGCCCCCCTAATTGTACCGAAAATTGTGATCAGTTTTGATCACAAAAAAATGTGATCAGAAATAACAAATTTGTGATCAGT